CTGGAACTTGAGAGTCAGGAGGACGAGTCATCTCTACAATAAAGTCAGCAAAGGCTTGCCCCTTCACTGCTTTTCTAGGCTCGAAAGTAACTTCGAGACTCTGCATTTCTATGGCCCATTTGATCATTCGTCCGGAGGACTCCATGGTGGTAAGGGGCCGTTTGATCGGTTGGTCGGTATACACGACGACTGCATGTGCCAGAAAGTAGGGCTTCAATTTTTTAACAGCCATGAAGAGTGCAAGACCAAATTTCTCCACTAGGGGATACCTCAACTCGGCATTTTTCAGTACGTGACTGACAAAGTAGACCGGAAGTTGACAGCCGTCCCTTTCAGCAAGGAGCACCGCGCTTAACGCATGATCAGAGACGGCCAGGTACATGTAGAGATTTTCTTTGGGCAAAGGGCTGACCAGCCTTGGCAAGGAATGCAAGTGAACCTTTAATTTCTGGAAGGCGGCCTCAGCATCCGGCCCCCATTCAAACCTTGCCTTTTTCTTAATTGCCTGGAAAAAGTATAGGCATTTGTCGCCTGATCGGCTTAGAAATCTTCCCAAGGCCGCCAGACAACCTGTTAACTTCTGAACCTCTCGGACGGTACGAGGCGACTGCATGTCAATGACCGCCTGTACCTTCTCAGGGTTCGCCTCTATTCCTCTCTGGTTGATAAGGAATCCGAGAAATTTCCCAGACTCAACTCCAAATACACATTTCTTGGGATTGAGCATGACATGGTGCCGCCTGAGTGTGGCGAAAGTCTCTCGGAGGTCCGTCAGATGATCTTTCTGAAGTTTAGTCTTGACAATCATATCATCAATGTATGCCTCGACGTTTCTCCCAATCTGATCAAAGAACACTGTGTTTATCATTCGTTGGAAGGTAGCCGGAGCATTCTTAAGACCAAACGGCATGACCGTGTAACAGTATAATCCCTGATCAGTGACGAAGGCCGTCTTCTCCTGATCTTTCTTCCACAAAGGAATTTGATGAAAACCAGAATAGGCGTCCATAAAACTCATCAAGGCATGGCCGGCTGTTGAGTCGACCAGGTTATCAATTTTGGGCAGAGGGTAACTGTCTTTGGGGCACGCCTTATTCAAGTCTGTGTAGTCTACACACATTCGCCAGGTGCCATTCGGCTTTTTAACAAGTACCACATTTGCAACCCAATCTGGGAAGTAACATTGCCGAATGAACCCTGCATCAAGTAATTTTTTGACTTCGGCGGCGGCCGCCTGACCTCTTTCTTCACCATGGTTCCGCTTCTTTTGCCGTACCGGCTTCTTTTTCGGATCCACAGCGAGTTTGTGTACTGCCAGATCAGGACTAATGCCTGGCATTTCATGGACTTCAAATGCAAAGATGTCCTTGTATTCTTTCAACAGGTTGTGAAAGTCATCACCAAGGTTTCTCAGAGCAGTCGTCCCAACTTTGACTGTTCGGTCAGGGCGGGAGTCGTCTAATATCAGGTCCGTATGCTCACCAGCCGGCTGAGGGCGGAACTCATCCGGCCGGTCCTCTGCCAATGATTGCTATTTTCTTGCCTTTCTGGCGGACTCTGTCTGGGACGCCTTTCTTTTTCTGTCGCCTGTTTCTTGAACAGGCGCACTTTCCTTGACATTGTCAAGGTCTGTTTTTTCTCCACTTGACCCAGTGGCCTTAGCAGTGAGTTTGACATCCGAGAGATAGCACTCTCGGGCCATCCTCTGATCTCCCCTTAGGGAGCCGACTGTTCCATTGTCCCTTTCAAACTTAAGCAGCATAAGTGACGGGATTATAACAGCCTTGGCACTATTCAGGGTTGGGCGACCCAGAATCATGTTGTAGGCAGAGAGTTCCTCTACAACTAGGAATCGGACTACCATGTGTCGTCCTTCCCCTTTTTCGCCCAGGCGGACGGGTAGATCAACTCGTCCCAGTGGGTGGACGACTCCTCCTCCAAACCCTATTAAAGGGTGGGAGGCCGGATGTATGCAGTCCGTCTGATATTTCAGTTTTGACAGACATTTGCTGCTGATGAGATCTGAAGAGCTCCCAGTATCTATGAGGATTCGACCAACTCTCTGGTTGGCCACTTTACATTCAATAACGAGAGGGTCGTCATGCGGCCCCCTTATTCCTCCTAGATCCTCTTCAGTGATGACAATCTCAGGAAATGTATATTTGGACGGTCGTTCTTGGTGAACGGAATTTACATCTAACCGCCTTATATTATCTTTGTTGCCCCTGATAGTGGGGCCGCCTCCTGAGAAGCCGCCTGCAATGGTGTAGACGACTGCATCATCTGTATCGGAACTGTCGGCCTGTTGATTCTTTTTGGCCGACTGCTTTTTTGAGGAAGTATTCCCCGTAGATTTCTTGACATAAGTGTCAAGATCACCTTGATCAGCCAAGCGGTCTAGGTACCGCATGAGACTAATGCAGTCGTTGGTGTGATGACCAATGTCGTCATGATAAGCACAGATTTTGTCTTGGTTCCGGTTGCTCGCAGAACCCTTCATGGGGAGCGGTTTCTCAATTGAGAGCCGTCCCTTTATTTCTTTTAGGATAAACTGATTATCCTTGTTAAACACATACTTTGGGGAGTATGGTTTGAATTCCTTTTTCTTCTTGGCCGGCTGTTTAGAGGAATCAGCCGCCCAGACCCCTTTTCTTTTTTCATCTTTGTTGGACGACTGTTTCTGTCGTCCCTCTCTATTGTCGAACCTCTTCCCGTCCGACTGTTTCATTGTACACAGATCAGTCGCCTGTATATAGGCTTCTGCTTCAATCAAGGCCTCTTGAAGAGTCGCCACCCTTTTTCGAACTAAATCAAATTTGAAGGTAGACCCGTCTTTGAGACCTCTAAAAAAGTCAGTATAAGCTACCTCATCCGGTAACCCTTGAATCTGTATTCTCATCAGGTTGAACCGCCTGATGTAGGAACGAAGCCCCTCCTTTTCACCCTGCTGAATTATTCCCAAATCAAGGGTCGTTTTCTTCGCAGGGATGTTCATTGCAAAGTTGGAGGCAAATAAGTAAGCAAGCGTCCTGAAACTGTTTACACAACCAGTCGGCAGGTTGCCGAACCATTGCTGTGCAATTCCCTTGAGAGTTGCTGGGAAACACTTGCACCAAGTGGGATCATCCAACCCTTGAAGGTACATCAGGTTGGTGAATGCCATCAGATGGTCTTCCGGGTTAGTAGTGCCATCATAGGCGCCTACTAAAACATTTTTTACTTTGGCCGGCTGAGCGGCTTCAGTAATTTCCTTGGAGAAGGCCGACGGCTGTTCACCAAGTCTAAGCAGCCGTAGCTGCCAGTCCATAGGTTGGACGTTTTTTGCTGCAGGTCCACCAAATGGAGGTGGCTGCATAAAATATTGTTGTTGCGGCACAAATGGCAAATTTGGTACCGCCTGCGCACTATGAAAGCCAGACTGACGGGAGGTGCCGCCTGACTGACTCTCATGGTACGACTGAGTTGACCTCATCGAGGCATTTCGCAAACTGTCCTGAAAATTTGAAGTAGAAGCCGACTCTGATAATCGGTCACTCTTCTTCTGCTCTAGCAGGTGCCGAGCATCTGTGAACGTTTGCTTTGACCCGTCCGCCTGAATATGACGAACCGGTTTCCTATTTCCCGTAGGATAACGGAGTTTTGTGAAATCAAGAGCAGACGGCTCCCGCTTCTTAGATTTAGGATGGGGAGTCGCCTCTCGCCCTTGAACTGGCTTCCTCTTCAGTGAAGTGGAAGGTTTTTTGGCCGCCTGCTCTTTGACTGAAGCAGGCGGTTTTTTGTTGATCAACTCTTGGATCTCTCCCTTGAATCCCCTCATGAAGGTCATGAGTTCGTTCCTTGTGATGGGAGCAGACCCATCAGTCGGCTGTTGCCGAGCAAGCGGTGCGCCTGCTGGCTCGCTTCCTGTTTGAAGATACTCCCGTTCCCTTATTTCAGTATGACGGGTACGGCGGGCTCTTAGGGTCCCGTCTGGAGCTGTATGAGTTTCAACTTCAAATTCACTTTCGGTATCATGGTCCGACTGAACTTGAGGGTCGTCTAGGGGACGCCTCTCTTCTGGGGTCGGTACAGACTTGGATGCCATCTCTGAAGTACTCTCCCCACAGACGGCGCCAAATGTTTCGGGGTTTTCTGATGTCCTGCGGGAGAGTTACAATTCCGAGACTGGAACCGGACGCCTGTACCTGCAAAATAACGGAGACTCCTGAGAGCTCCGCCTCCAACGGTCAAGTTAGTACCTGATTAAGGAGTAATTAATACAGAAATTAAAGTAATAAGGTCTCTCTAGGTGAGAGTATTTAATGTAGGTAATCTGCTTTGCTAGCGAGATCAGCCGGTTATTAGTGTGTTCCGTAATGTATTCGGTCCCCTGATTAATGAGGATTAATCGAGTATTTATAGCCTTGGGAAGCGTGCAACTCTCTAGGTTTAAGGTAAACCTAGGGCCGATCGGGCTTCTAGACTGAAATGGGCCTTGATGGCCGGTTGTCCCATTTGGCATGGGTGGACACGTGGCGTGTCTTAAGTGGTCCGTGGAGGACGCGTGGCGGAACCTGGTTGGTCCACTTGTCAAACGGCGCTTGGTGGATAAAAATCCCCTAATCAATAGTGGTACTGCTTCCCACTCTAAATCATTGGTTTAGTGATCAAATCTCGTGAAAACTCATTCGATACCAGTTAACTAATTTTCTTCCAACCGTTAAAAATATTAAGTGATACCAATGTACGAGAGCACTTCTCCTATCCCACTAGCCGAGAAAGTACTAATGCAATATTGTTACGCATTTGCAAATGCATAACAAATACTAAAATATTAAAAATCACATGAAAAAGAGAGAAAGAAGGAGAAAAAAAGGTGAGTTGCACCACTATTAATTATACCACTTAAAGCTTATATAATACCATTATATTAGTTATTTAGTGATACTATATATGCACGTAATTAGTACTACTGAATGCATATATAGTACCACTACATACATACATAGCACCACTGAATATTCAATGGTACTATTTGATCACCCAATGGTACTATTGATCACTCAATGGTACTACTCTAAAGTCAGAATATACATTACGTGTAATTACGCCTTTACCTCTCGTTATACAATTGTTTATGCATAACAATACTCCCTTTAAGCTCCCTCCACTAGCTAATTTTACTCGATTCCCAATTCCCAAGAAAAAAAAAAATTTGGAGTTATTTTAACACCTCCACGTTACGTTGCATGCATGCAAAAATCAACAACACTCTTACACGTATACTTACAAACTGCCACATTACACTTTGAAACCGCCACTTATCAACAACTAACTAACCAATTCTAACCACAAAACCCTAATTAAATAGAAAACAAAATCCAATTTTGCTACCTTCAACCAAAAAACCAAGCAAAAATAATATAGCATAAATAACATGGTAATAATAAAGAGCTCAACATCATGCGTTACAATATCATTATTAATCGTTACACTAAATTATATCGCAGTTGTTAAAGCTCAAAACTATAGTAATTCACATAATAATTATATCTACCAAGTTACGGAAGATAGGAATTTAGTAGGAGTTGAAGGTAAGTTTGTGAGTTTTATGCGTGAACATGGGAAGGAGTATAGTACAAGGGAAGAGTATGTCAAGCGGTTGGCGATTTTTTCGAAGAATTTGGTCCGGGCCGCGGAGCATCAGGTGTTGGACCCCTCGGCGGTCCATGGGGTTACGCCGTTTATGGACTTGTCTCCCGAGGAGTTTGAAACCGCGTTCATGGGCTTAAAGCCCAATTTTGATCATCATAGTGGTTGGGGTGCAAATGGGGCCTCCGCTGATGCGGTGGCCCCTAGGTTGGATGTTCGTGGGTTACCTAAGAGTTTTGATTGGAGGGAAAAAGGGGCTGTTACTGATGTCAAGATGCAGGTATATGCATGCTTAAATTAATTTCTATTGTTTATTTGTAATTTTAATGTGGATTTTTTGGAAGAGATGAGTTCATGCTAAGTAGTGGAAGGCCCAATTAATTTTAGTATTGTTTGAAAATCTAAGGTACAATGTTTATATTACTCCCAAGTAATAATGTTTGTTAATACTTCATTTTGACACTTTATTGACACTTAAGAGTAGAATACAAGGATTTGGACTAGATCAAACTATAGCTCTTTGTTTCCGTTAACTTAATTTTCAATTTCTTTGATTGCAATTGATAATATACTTCTACAAAGGGAGTGAGGGATAGCTAAGGTGGTTAGAGCTCCCTTCTAGTTAACTGGATTTTAAAATCGATTCTAATCACCCGCCAAATTTGAAAGGGCAAATCGAACACCCCTTTTTTTTGGCCCAAGTTCGGTTGTTGCCCTGCCCAATCGAACAATTGTTCTAGCCATACTATATACTTCGTACTTAGTACCTTTTTATTTAAGGCCATCTTTGCATAGAAATTATTCAAATTCAATACAACATACTCCGTACAACTATACTTCTTCATGGCTTAAGGAAATTTATAAACTACTAGTTAGAGTGCTTAGACTAGTAACGTGTAACGTCATCCTACGACTTACATCATGTGTTAGTAAGGGATTTCTGATGTAGTGAATTTCAATCAGGGAACGTGTGGATCGTGTTGGGCTTTTAGCACAACTGGAGTTATTGAAGGAGCTAATTTTATTGCAACAGGCAAGCTTTTAAGTCTCAGTGAACAACAGCTTGTGGATTGTGATCATAAGGTAATAAGCTAAACGATTAACAAGTTACGGAGTACATATTAATTAAGAGTAATTACAAATTGCTAGTACTAGTAGAGACCGGGATTAATTTCTGACTTGATAATGTGCTTCTTAATTATGTTGGCTAGTGTGACGCGAGCAAGAAAACCGAGTGTGACAGTGGGTGTCGTGGGGGTCTTATGACCAATGCCTATAACTATTTAATGGAGGCAGGAGGCCTTGAAGAGGAAAAATCTTACCCTTATAATGGCAAGCAGGGCAAATGCCAATTTGACCCTGACAAGGTGGCCGTCAAAGTCGAAAACTTTAGCACCATCCCGGTTGATGAAGAACAGATTGCAGCTTATCTCGTTCATCACGGTCCTCTTGCAGGTATACCATCTTATTGAACATCTGATATTTAGAATCACTATATGCACAAACATTTGTTACAAAAATATTCTTAGGGAACATATTTTTTTTTGTTCATGTGTGTTCAACTTAGCTATGAATATCATCTAATTTGAACATGGTACAACCATCTCAAAACAATATAGTTAGTCATGTTGATATATATACTATATATTTATATATGCTCAACTCTGATGTGGTAATATCGTTCGATTTATGAATTTATAGGTACTCATGTAAGTATGTAATTACGTTACCACTATAAATTAAGTTGATATGATAATTTGACTTACAATGAGAATTTTTATTGTGGCATTGTGAGATCGATTGTAAATATGATTTTTGTTGGTTATCACGTATGTAGTTGGATTAAACGCTGTGTTCATGCAAACATACATTGGTGGAGTATCGTGTCCCTTGATATGTGGTAAGCGAATGATAAACCATGGTGTTTTGCTTGTTGGTTATGGGGCAAAGGGCTACTCCATTCTGAGGTTCGGCTACAAACCTTACTGGATCATCAAAAACTCATGGGGTACAAAATGGGGTGAAGATGGATACTATAAACTGTGCAGGGGCCATGGTATGTGCGGGATGAATACAATGGTGTCCGCGGTTGTGACTGGAGCCTAGTATTAATATGTAACCATTTGTCACTCTATTTTACTAGCTCGAATGATCGAAACAAAAGTATGCAGCAAGCTAAGCATGGTTTACGGCTGTCATAATTAGTTCCAGTAGATTACATTTCCTTTCACATAATGGTGCTAGTTGTAACTTGTAATATAAGTGCAGTTTTTGCTGCATCGTTTTTTCTTTTTTTGCATCTTTCTGGATGTTTGTTTAGTAAGTGAAGAATCTGAAAACTTATTTGCTCGATAATACTCTTATTTGATGTTCTTAAGCAAGCTTTGATGTTTTTCGAGCATATTTTTCAAGCTGTTATTCATGCTTCATTGAACATGTTTGAAAATTCACCACTAGATTTTGTGAAGCCAATATTGGGTTCTTCTTTAATCAGCAACAAAACAATAGAAAACAGGCATTTTCAAATATTCTTCACATCGATCAATTTACAATGTATTTTTTCGTGTATTATCATGATATGATAGATTTTCATATACATTTAAGACATGTTTTTGATTCTCAGTGTAATCCTTGGCTTATCTATAAAATTATTGGAAAATCACTATTTCAATCAAAGGAATTTTCACCATCATCCAATATAGTACCACAAGTCACAACTAAAGTTTTTCTTCTAGATGACACCACCAAGACCCTAGTTTTCCTTGCGCCAAAACCCTCCTCCAACTCCCACTAATGACTTTCATCCTTCTCGACTCTAAGGGGTTAGGGGTTCCTTCTCAAATCGATTTATAGCATTAGCACATTTTTATAAGCCATTTGACATTTTTTTCTAATTAAAAAGCAAAAATTATCCATACCTTCTCTCTACCCTCATCTCGAGTGAACCCTCTTCTTAGTTGTCAACCTACGTCACTACCTTCTTTCTTGCTAGCAAGCTTGCTCTCTCGGCCCTCCCTACCCAAACAACCACAAGGGCACAAGGTACGTCCAATCGTCTTGTCGTCCACAAGACGACTACCACTTTCTCTCTTAGTTGCCTTGTCGCAAGCTCGTAACCCCTCCTAACAAAAAAAATCCCTCCATACCTTCTTTCCATAATGCATAGTTAAAATGAGATGCCCTTCATTGTATATTAAACTATGTAGAGCCTTGCCATTCTAGTAGCCAAACTTCAGCACCTCTACTCTCTATCATCCCTCAAAGTCTTAGCCACTTCATATGACATGCGAAAGATAAGTAGATAAATTTTAAGATGTAGCTAAAAATTAAAGTGATCGGAAAAAATGTAGGAATTAGTAGATCTATGGTGGTCGATGATAGGAGGGAGTATGACACCTAAAAAAATCCTTTTTTGAAACTTTGAATTATTAATAGATTAAAGAAAATAGACACACAAGTTATTGTTAAACTTTATTTTATAAGAAGCTCATAATATTCGCTCTAATTATTAAAATTTGATTATGGGTCTGAATATTAAATATCATTGTTTTCAAGGAAATAGCTTAATGAAATCAATTTCGAAAATAATTTTGGCTCTATAAAATAAATTAAGAGGTATTTTGTGAAAAAAATAAAAAAAAAAAACTAATCAAAACAAACCAAATTTGAATTAGGGTAAACCAAATTTGAATTAGGGTATAAGTTAAGAGGACCAAGTGTATAGAACATACGAGCTCCTCTTCCATTTTATTACTTCAATAAACTAGGCTTTTACTGATGCATTGTTTCCTTTGTTACAAATTGGTTATGATTATTCTCACTTAAGTTCATGCTTAATAATGTCACATAATTCAGGCATTGTCAAACACATTCAGATACAATATACGGGTACAATTTATAAGGAGATAATTCATGCAATTTATGGAGTTTTGACCATTTGAACAATTAAAAAATTACTCTATATGCCGAATTACCGATCACTATTAGGTTTGAACCCACTCACAAATAATAACCCCAATGACCGGCTTGGAATTTGGATCGGTTTCACCGGTCTATTCTAATTCATGTCTTAACCATAATCGATCCAGCCTCCGAATCTTGAATTTTAAAATTTCCGACCTTCGGTCTTGTCCGGTTTGGTCCAATCTTGGACCGGTGAAACAGCCCTAATTCCTCCTCCTATGTTTACTTTACAGTACTTCCCCCAACCTCCTTGAGCCTTTTCACGTTCACGCTGGGTTGCTGCAAGCCTCCCTCTCTCTCTCCTCCATTGAAGCGGCTTCTAAGCTTTCTCTCCTCCATTGAAGCAGCTTCTCTTCTTAGGTAAAATATTCTTCTTTCCTTTTCTTTTTCTTTAATTAATCATGGAATTCAATTTCACAAATCTAGTATTAATCGTTAATTTAATTGTTACTACACTCAATTTAGGGTTCATATTCTGAAGTTGTGAAATTGAACCATTTCTCACCCTGGTTCAGCTTTGATTTTAAGCTAATTTTTGTGCTTTCGTTTGATTAATCGTAGTTTCAGCAGGAAGAGAGATGGGTCCAGCTCCATTTACTGATATTGGCAAGAAAGCCAGAGGTAATTTGGAATTAGGTTTATTGTAATTGTGATTGATTTTGTGATATTTTGGTTGATTAATTTGTTTTTATACCATTTTATGTTATGATGATGTAATTGTGATTGTGATTGCCTTTTTGTCATTTTATTAGATTGAAGTGTTAATTTTGTATGCACATTTCAACAACTTTGTATTTAGGATGATACCTTAATTGCTTCGTATTTTTAATGATACCTTAGGCAAAATGAGTTTGGTGCATAATGAATTTGTGTTTTTCAAGCTTTCTTGGTAAGGGGATGAATTATAGCAAGTCTTGGGTGAGACGGTTTACCAATAATTCATTGTGAGGCATTACATGTTGCACAATAGCTTATTGTGGGATCTTTTCAAACAAAATGTTGCGTAATTTGAATGTTTGTTACCTTTTCTGTTTTGAGATTCCTTAGGCAAACGTGCTTGAAGCAAAAATATTAGTTATGGAATTTAGAAGTTTGATAATGAACTGTAAATGACTGTGGTCTTTGGAAACATTAGTAACTATGGTAGTACTGTATGACTGATTTCATAAACCCGTATTTCAGAATAAGAAATGAATGATTGAAATTTAGGATGTTTTGCTAATAAGATTTTGAGATGAGGATTTTTAGTATTGAAGTTGTGAATTTCACCTATGTGAATATAACTGAAGTAGTTAATCATGAAAAGTCTGGAAATTAAGCAACCATCTTCATGAGCAATCATACATATATTAATCCCTTCATTGCCCAAATGCTGGCATTTATGTATTGATCATTAGTGTTTTTTATTTTTTTTTATTTCCACTGAATAGAAGTCTATTTCTATTCTGTAAATAAACTTGAAATGTTTCATTTCTATGAATGGATTATTAGTTATCATGAAAATAGTTGGCAAGTTTTACCATTGGTAATATGTATAATTTGAAATAAGATTAGATAAGAAAACTTGTATGTTGACTTATATCCAAGACACTTAGATTTTTATAATATTCTTAGTCTTGAGACTAATCTTAACATGTATTGAGGTTTTCCAAGGTGAATTCCAATTTTATTATTGTGTGGGATGTTATTGGAATCATCTTGGGCTTTAACACATGAAAAAAATGAATTGATATTTAAAGTTGAACCACTGCGCCACTACCCTGCAAACTAGTCTGTTAGATAAGTCATTTTGCACCTTGAGCCCTTTATTGAAAAAATTATAAAAATAAAAATAAATAAATAAAAAGGGTGAAGGTTGAAGCTTTATTTCTTTCAGCTCTCCCTCTTGGATGGACCCTAGGGGTGATCGTTTTGGAACAATTTTAGAATTACAAATTACAATGAACTTTTTATTTGTTAATTTCTCTAGGATACATTTTGTATAATGTTTCATCTCTAAAACTTATTCCAGCTCCAATATAGAACTGTTGTGAAGTATTATATCTGATATTCTGCTGGATCCTGTTCATAGCTTGCCTTTTTCTTCATATTGTCTGGGTTCTCTTGGAGATGGTTGTTAGTAGGCTTGCTCGGAGTTGGAATAGTCCTTTTGTTATGAGATAAATTATGTCTGTTGGGCATGTAGACTTGTATGATTAGATCATAGGGGGCATACCTTTGCCATGTTAATGATACTTTCTGGAAGGGCATACTCGAAATATTTTGGACACTTCAAATCTTCAATGCGTATACTGTGTGGTTTATTGGTTGAAGTATGTGTGGTTAAAGATGATACCTGGGTGACCTGTGAGTTGCTTAGCAATGAGCCAATGAGTCCTTTCTTGTTTATTTCATGACAAAGCAATATATGATAACTACTAGACCCAAAAAAAATTATTTTTTTTTTTAAAATTTTAGATGAGAATAGAAAGCAAAAGATGGATTATTGGAGTGTTACCATACCTGCTAAGAGCATATGGTAGACTGGTAGTTCACAGTATGTTTCTTGTGACATTATTTACCTCAGAAACTTAATTTTTTTGCTTTGTGTAAATACTGGATGTTTAAATGATATTTATAGCCTGCTGAAAATTTTAATCATCCCTTATCAGTGGTCTGGATGCTAATTGAAGAAAGATATTGAACATACTACAAATTTTTATTGTATTTTTATCTTCCAATCTATCAATTTCTGAAGTTCCATTTATTTATTTATTTGTTGATAATATGGTGATTTTTTCACTTCCAGATGTCTTAACCAAAGATTACAACTTCGATCACAAGTTCACCTTGTCAGTGCCCAGTATCACTGGAATGGTATGGATGGTTTCTATCTTAAATCAGTCTCTTATCATTCAAATGAATTTCAGCATGATTTCACAGTTTATATTCCAGCTCTACTGAAGAAAAAATGTGGGTTGTGATATCGAGAATGACCTTTTTCTCCATGAATGTCATTTACTCTTCTTTCTTCTTCTTCTTCATTTTTTTTTTTTTTTTTTGTGTGTGTGTGTGTGTGTGTTTGTGTTTGTGTGTGTGTGTGTGTGTGTGTGTGTGTATATATTAGTGTTTTAATCATGCCATGTATATAGCTGGGCCTAATTGCCTGAATGATTAGTATCTGTGCTCCAACTTGATCAATGGATTTTATTCATTACTTCATTAGTCACAACACAAGACGGCCTGGTATTGGTTCTCCTTCATTGGTTTCCATAAGTTGCAATAAGTGCCGCTTGCAGCCTTTTTCTTCAGAACTATACCATGTCACTTCTATGTTTCTATACGAATTATTATCCATGAGAATCGTTTTATCCAAATCAGTTTGTTAATGGAACATATTGCATGCAACGTCTTTCATGAGATTTCTGGTGCACTTATTATCAAACAGTGTCTCTTTACTCGAATTGATCTTATTTATAGTTGAATAATACTTGTTGATTCCTCAAGTATTCTAAAATTGTTATTCTTTGTAATCAGGGATTGACAGCCACAGGTGTCAAGAAGGACCAAATCTTTATTGGTGATATAAGTACACAGTATAGGAGTGGAAACATTACAGTTGATGTGAAAGTTGATACTTATTCTTATGTAAGTATATGTTATCAAGTTTCCCTTTTTCATTGTTTGTTTTGACCCCTTGTCTATGTTCATCTATGTGCATGTGAATCTCTCCTTTGTCCCGTATGTTTGGCATAACTAAGAGGACCAGAGTAGGATGTTGCTGATGCACTGTATATGATCACACTGACACTTTTAACTCTTCTTTGTTCGGTAGGTTGCCACAAAAATAACTTATGATGAAGCTTTACCAGGCATTAAAACAGCTCTCAGCTTTAACATTCCTGATCAGAAATCTGGCAAGGTATGCAATTTTTTTCCATTTAGCTTCTTGTTTGTATATCATCGTTAATTCTATATACCCATGGATTTGAAATTTAAGTGTAAAGAAGGGCCTTAGGAATTTGAGGGTATTGAAAAGATGGTTGTCTTACTGCAAGATGAAAATTATTTTTGCTGAATTTAGGTATATTTGATTTAAAATTCCCACATTAGAATTTAATTTAAGGCCAAGCAGAATAGACAAAAGAGCCAGAAAAGAATCATAGAGTGACAGAGATAGAGGGCCAGAAGTACTGATGATAAGAATATTCACGCACATAGCAAATATGCGCACTCCTTTCCATCCTTATTCCCAATATTCTATTTTCCCATAATGTGGTTTAAAAAGTGCTACTGTTAGGGGTTTCACTCCTGTTCTCCTCTCCTACCAGTCATTGGCCCATGCCCCTCTCTGACTGTTGGTCATCCTCTCATCCATAGGCCTGTATTCAGTCTAGCCACTCCTTAACTTGGTCTTGTGAGGACGCTTCTACTTGACCCAACTTATGCTCTGGACAAGGATTCTATAGCCAGCTTAAGGTGCCAGGATCTCTTTTCTCGCTTTAAATTGTTGGCATTACAAGTAGTAGGATCCTGTGACCACTATTCTGTCTGGCATGTATGCTCAGCTCTAGTGTTGATGGCTGCTCCTATTAAGGGTAACATGTCAGCTCTAATTTCTGTATCTTGTTTGAATTGTTACATACTAATAGCATCAATGTATGGGATTGTTCAGGATTGTGAAGTCTAGTGGCCTGTCATAGTTAACATGCCTGGCATGTATGTAAAATTCTAGTGTTAATGGGTGTTCCTATTAAGGGTCACATTTCAGCTCTAATTTCTGTATCTTGCCTGAATCGTTATATACTACTAGCATCAATGTATGGTATTATTCAGGATTGTTGAGTCTAGAGGCCTGTAATAGTTAACATTGAGCACTCACAAGTCACAAACCAGCCCGTATCTACAAGAGTTAGAAATGAGTTTCAGATATTTACAAGATTTGGTAGCTAATGGTTCAACTTAAAAGAATAGAGAATTTTTAGATTTCTTTTGATTTATGCCTGATGTTTATTTGTATTGATACAGTTAGATGTGCACTACCGGAATTATCATGCTGCAGTTAACTCTAGTGTTAGCTTGAATCCTTCCCCTACAATGGACATCAATGCTGCCATCGGCAATGAGGACACCAGCTTGGGTGGGGAAATGGCATTTGATACTGCATCCGGTTCATTCACCAAATACAATGCTGGGATTACCCTCAATAGACCAGATTTTTCTGCAGCCCTTTTACTGTATGTATAATGTCATTCCTAGTTTCATTTATTGTAGAGGTTTACTTTCCTCCTTGTTTATTTGCTATTTGACTGAATAACCTTTTATTTGACTGAATAACCTTCTATTGCTGATGCTTTAAATTCCTGTCTATTTGATTTAAGTTCCTGTTTAAGATGAGGGTAAAAATCAATTAACTTGCTCTATGCGATATGTTTCTCTTCCTTTATTCTTTGGAACTGGTAAAAGTAGTGATTTGTAGTTAGAATTGGCAGGAAATTTTATGCTACCTCCAAAAACTTGCTGTCATCATACCAAATCATTTTGTGTAAGAGATTAATCTCCATACACCTCAGTCACCACGTTGACTGCACCAATCTCTATGTAGCACCTACCAGTGTTTGAGATATCAATTGCTGGTTTTTGAAAAGTCGTCGGGTATAAGAGATGGAGTTGCATCAATTTAAAATGGAAAGCTGCGTATGTTAGCAGGTGTCGCCAAAGATATCAGTTACTTATCTGGTCATCTAATGTGATAATAAATGGAGGTTTAGCAATACGGGTTGCTTAATAGAAAATTATTTTAGAAGGTTATTAACTGTTTGAGTTGAGGACTAAATGAAGGAACTACTGGGGTAACATGGACAGCAGATTGGATAATAAGGAACCTGCCACTGCTGTGCATGCTAAGTGCAAATCAGAAGATAGGAGTAAAGAAAGAAACTTGTTTGATGTTTTCTGGACATTTTATTGTTGCCCCTTGACCCAAGTATTCTCCTCTTTCTTCTGTTACACATAACCCTTTTACTACGGAGGTGGAATTGTGGAGATGGAAAGAAGCATGGGTTGGTAAGCAATGGCTTTGAAAATACAAAGTACACATCTTGAATACTAGTCTTAATATGCTGAGACTAGATTGGATTTTATGGTACACATATTAGGTTTGATGTATTAATCTTAAGCTTGTATGCATACTTAATGATCTCTTGAAATTTAAGTCTGTCTCCCTTCTCTCTTAATTTTTATAAGCATTTCATGAGAAATCTTTGGCTGCAAATTTGGTGAACCTTCGAATCCTCGATTGACAATAAATTTTTCCTTCTCTGGCCATTAAATTTTTTCTTTTAACATTAATAAACTATTGTTTATTAGGTTGTCTGGCCTTGGTTCTCTTTAACATTTATGTTCCTAAAATGCAGGATGGATAAAGGACAGACTCTTAAGGCTTCGTATTATCACACTGTGAATCCTTCAACAGCTGTTGCAGCCGAAATGATTCATAGATTTTCTAGTTACGAGAACGGGTTTACAATTGGTAGCTCACATGTAGTTGATCCTACTACATTGCTGAAAACTCGTTTCTCTGACAACGGAAGGGTCGGAATGTTGTGTCAGCATGAATGGAGGCCAAAGTCCCTGGTAACTTTTTCAGCTGAGTATGACACAAAGGCTCATTCAGCCGCTAAATTTGGCGTTGCCTTGGCTCTGAAACCTTGAGATCCTACCATTGTGCAACTTTTGGTAATACTCTGCATCAATATTTTCAGATTATACAATTTTTTTGACCCCAAATGGGTGTTGTTTACCCAAATGTCAAAAACTAGACTGAAATGTATTCATGAGTAGAACATTCTAGAGCATTGATGGGTTTTAGACCCAGTTTTGAATAGTTTGAAGATGCGCTACAAAAGTTCAGCATCGCGTAGCTTTCTTTTACCATAGATTTTCTGCTGATTGATAATGAATCTCGTCTTGAGAGAGATTTTCTGTTATTCTTCTTTTGAAACCGTATATCATGTTCAAAAATTTTACAATAATTTCTGTAATACTCGAAAATAAATGTAGCTCTGCATTTACAGTTTAATTATGCATGATCTTAATTAGTGTTATCAGTATGAGCTTGTCTAAGGGAAGACGCTTTCAGTTTTCTTTCCGATTATTGCATGGAAGATCTGGAGGGATTAAATTATACAGGGCTAGATAAGGGAAAGGAAATGTTTTTCACTCTTTTTTAATACTCCCTCCGTCCCATAACATTTGACACAGTTTCCATTTTCGTCCGTCCCACAATATTTGACTCTTTATTAAATATGGAATAAGATCACTAATTAAAAAATATTTTCCCACATTTCTCTCTCCTCATCTACCCCGCTCATCCCACTTTTTGTAAACTTGCAATATAAAAATACAAAAGAAAATCTTTTATATAATAAACAAATATTTTAAATGGATCTATTTGTAGTTTTCTTAAACCACGTGTCCACCCCAACGTCCCAAGTATTATGGGACGGAGGGAGTAAACCAAATTCCTCTATTGTTGGACAGATTTAGAAGGAAAATAATGCGTTATTTTTTCATGCCCTTGGAAAACGAACTATACAAAGCTTGACCTCATGACTACGAGGTCCAAATAATACATTATCTAAGAATGGCTGATATAATATCCAAATCCACTACTCTAAATTGGTAAAATCCAATAATAAAATTGAAAAAGTAAATAAGATCACACCATCTTCTTTGAGAAAGAACAAATCTGATGAATGAAAATGGGATTCCAAGCAGAGTCAGAAATCAGAATATTAGCAGATTTGATCCGTTAAGAGGTTTAATCAGAATATTCTGTTACATTTTGTTGCAAACGATGGCTTTTTCATTGGTTGTTCTTTTTTCTTATTTACATGTAACGTGACCACTGTATTTGTCAGCTGATGAATGATTTTTATCTGTTTTTTTTTTTTCAAATTTTACAAAAATTTAATTAATTTATTTTATGTTATTTTATTTTGTTTACAGTGGTAATTTCTGACATTAGGGATACAGAGTCAGAGTTTACTTTGTAGGTGAGTTTTACTTGCAAGTGTAAAAAACTACAAATAGAGAGTTTCATGAGTAATTAATAATTTAATAACCACCATCAAATTCTTTTTTTACCTTTTATATGCAAGTTAAGATATGAGCCAAATTTGTCAGAGGATCATGTACCCACTACCCCAAATAATCTAAAATGATTTTGCTAGTTACTTTCGCCTTTTTTTTTCTTTTTTTTTTTTTCAAGGTTGGTTCGAGTAATTTAGATGATATTGCCTAACAGTGTTTATTGTCAACAATTAGTAATGAATGTTATGTCCAAATATTGTAAAAGTCGACCTCGATAGAAAATGTCATGATCATATTTATCAATTAGAAAAATGTGAGAACATAGGAGATGGAGGGATGGATAGTCTCTCCATCCCCCCCCCCCTCCCAAAAGTGGTTGGGGCGACCCTTTCGTATCTTACCGCATTTAAAAAAAAATTAAAAAAATTTAAAAAAATGTTATAAAATTATTTAGTACAAGACTTTACCATAGAATTATTGAAATGATACTAGATTTATTCTACCCTAGAAAACGACCATAAGTTGGTTATTTGGAATGAAAATCTCAAAATATGTTGTAGGGCATTATTGATTTGGATTTTCCTAAGGGGTCACTTTTGAGAAAGAACGGTCTAGTAAGTTTCTTTCATTTGTACTTTTCCAAATTAAATAAAAAAAATAGAATAGATGAAATGTACAGAGGAATGTTTATTTGTTTCAATAGTTGATATATACTTTATATATAATGAAAAAAAATTATAATGTTTACTAGAAAAATTAAAGATATTCATTGAAACATAAATTTTCCAAAGCAAAAATTCCTTCCTAAATGGATGCCAAACAAAAGGAAGCAAATTAATAATCAAAGTCAATGCAAGATAAATGTATAGTTGTTGCCTTTGTTTGTCTTGCAAAAGTATTTCAAATATTCTTTAAACTATTTATAATCTATGAATACACTATATGTGTAATTTTGTTGAACTTACTTTTTTTTTTTTCAAATTTAGTCATTTTCATCATAATAAATTGAGAGGATGATTAAATAGTAGGCCTAAGCATTTTGTAAAACCCTTTTTCATGCATTATACTTCCTTTGTTCCACAAATATTGCAACAAAGATGAAATCACGCATCTCAAAGCACATTTTATTTGCTAAATATCTATACAATTATGTAAGAGTAAAAATTATAAAAAGTTGATATTGTAAAAGTATTTTACGTGACGAATATAACAAGACCGCACATGACTATATTTTACTTAACGTATAAATCATAATATGTGGTTAAACAAACGTGATGAATAGTATAAAATTTCAGTTGTTGCAATATTACTAGAACGGAAGAAGTAATAACAGAAAGATAATACTTCTTATTAACATATGTGAAAGGAAAATAATCAATACATGTGATTCAAATATTCTCAAAATAAATATTTCGTACATTATCACAGATACAATATATATATAGAAAAAAAAATTAAAAAAAAAAAAAAACTTACTATTCATATAACAGCACAATAAACCATGTTACGTACTTTCGTAGCTATAGAACACTTATATATATTAAAAATGATATGTCATCGTAATTTCGCACAGCTCTTGATGACAACATGCATCTAGGCCAATAATAAAACATCAATATACATATAGGGAGAGAGTACAAGGTTCCAAATGAAGAATGAACATAAGCTAATTTTTAATTTGACCCTACTATAATTTTATTTTTTTTTATTTTTTTTTTTTGACAAAAGCAAATGATATTAATAAAATCAGAGTTTACAACATACAAAATAAAACCTAAACCTTATTATATGGCTTTTAACATTTAAGCCATTCCAACTTTCGACACTAAAAACCAATATACATAACTGGAGTTGGCCGGAAAAGTTGTAAATCAGGACCTCTTTATAGGCCAAAGAGCGGATACCTACTTCAAAACACAAAGAGAGCAGAGAGTATCGAAACTGTTTGATCATGGCTAGTTTAAATTTACCTAGTAGGATCAACTTATCACCACGTAGGTCTTCAAACCGATCACATGGACATGTGACCTATCATTCCTAAGCTGTTCTTGTTTGCAAGAAAGCTTTAACAACGTCGAGGCTCCTGAAATCCCAAAACAAAGTTTGGGCGCCTGCTTTGGATAGAAAACATCAACAAAGTTTGGGCGCCTGCTTTGGATAGAAAACATCAAGAGTAATGATCACTCCGATGAAAGGAGTAGAATGACAACCATAGTCATTCCACCATAATACACACCACATCCTAGCCATGACCAACTTCTCATTCGTCCCCTATACAGCGGCAACCCAAGTTACCTCTCTCGACACAACAACACCAAATCCCTTGACAAGGTATCCAAATTCCCTCCTCACACAACCATCCAATAAACTATAGCCAAAACAACCAGAAAAACAGGACAACAACCAAGAAAGGCTAAAATAAACCATACATGACTTTGAAAAATAAAGCAAACTCTGAATAGCAATAAAAACATACATACTTAAATTCAACGACCAAATCAGAAAGCCCCTTTCGGATCTTAAATCCGAAACCATAAAAGCAAAGAACCTCAAAACCCTAACCCTAACTTCACCGTTTCCGTCACGAAACACTCTTGACGGCGGCGTTAGGCCTAGCCTCCAGCGCAAGGACCCACGAAACCCTAATCCTAATTTTACCGTTTCTGTCACGGTCAAAATTACCAATGACCTTTATGACGGCGGCGTTAGGCTTAGTCCTTAGACCGCTTGTTTCGCCGGCGAAATCCTTTGAAAGTGAACCTTCCACTCCAAGGTGGGTAAACAGGGGCTACTCTAAATCTTCTAGCCGTATAACGGGTCACAAACCCCTTCGAGACCGAGATTAAGAGGATAAAAGAGAAGGGATAAGGGTGACGGCTCAATCGGAGTTTGAAGCCGCCCCACAGCAGAACGAAAAGGGGAAACGAGAAGGGAGAAGAGGAGGTAGAGAAGAGGAGGACAGAGCCTCGCCGCTACGGCGCCGGAACTCTGGAGACGAAGAAGAAGAAGAGGGGGAACGAGAAGGGAGAAGATGAGGACGGAGCCTCGCCGGAGAAGGCAAATTAAAAAGAGAGAGAAGGGAGGAAACTCGCCGGAGATCCGGCTCGTCCAGCGAGCACCTAGGTTTCCGGCAGTAAGCTTGTTTGGAGGAGGAGAGAGAATAGAGAGTTTTTGGGGTAGAGAGAGAAGCAACCAATTACCTTTGTAGTTCTTGACCCTGCTATGATTATGGTTGTAATTATATATTGATCAAAGCTCAATTATAAATGTTTAGGATGAACAAGTGTACGTACCAAAATAAAATTCACTTTTAAATAAATAGACAAGAATAATACTTTGTATATATTTTTTTGTATAAAATTTGTAAAAGAAATTAAAAAAAAGTTTAGTAACAAAGTAACATCTGACTTATAGTATAAAATTATATACGGACACTACATATGGTACGGCCAAATGGGTCAAGGTGTTTCACATGTTTGAGCTAATAATTGTTGTTATTTTCTTGCAACTTTTTTGTTCAAGTGTTAAGTCCAAATCTTACCTACATAACTTTTTGAAGATGCATAAATATTGCAAATATTTGAATGTACTTCAATTTCTTCATTATTATTTGGGGATACTTCAAACTGGCTTCCAGCTCAATTGTCACTCAAGTGGGGGTTGTATTTTTATTTATTGCCTACAAAGGCTACAATACTTTGCTAGTGAGGTGAACAACATCAAGGATTGTACGTACTCTAGTTATCTATTGTTGGATGTTGGCTGATTCATATATTTTGTCCCCGTAGTATGTACTAATAATTACTTAGTACTATTAACATAAATGTACTAATTACTCTATGTGTATAGTACTCTAGTATTAGTAAGTATACGTTTATGGTGGATGTGGATATAAATTACAAACAAATAAGAAAATTAGTATGAAAGGAGCCGTCCCCTCCTCTCTCCTCTTCTCTTCTACGGTTTATAATATTTTGGCCGTTTATGTCGAAAA